GCCATTTGCCTGGCTAACTTTTCACCGTTCAACTGATGCCGTGGGCGATACTATCCGCGAGAGGGCAAGGCAAATACTGGGGAGAAGGGAGTGAGAGGCGAGGAGGAAGGAAAGAGGAGAGAAAGGACAGAGGGAGGGAAGAATGCAGACAGAGATGTGCACACGTATGCGTAGGACACACACGCAGACAAACGCACGTACGGCACACATACAGGCACGGATGCACTTATTCCTTCTCTCGCCTTCCCGCTCACCCTCTCTCTCTCTCTTTCTCTCACACACACAGACACATACCATACACACACGCGCGCGCGCGCACGCACACGCACACGCACACGCACACGCACACGCACACGCACACACACAACCTGTCAGAGAAATAAATAGATAGAATCAAAAGCGCATTAACCGGGTTAATGCGCTTTTGATAGAATACCAGATATTGAATGAAAAGGTAGGCCTATTATTGGTTTTTTCTTGGTTTTTCCTGATGCTTGATTCTATATGATACATGCTATATGACATATGACATATGACATATGCTATATGATACATTATTACTGCTAGGTTTTTTTCAATGACAATCTGTGGCAATTAGTTTAATCTATTAATCAAATTAAAGAGAGTCTTCAGCCTCCAACCCATGGAAGCAACCAAAGGGCCATATTCTCCTTGTCCCAAATCTTTACAAATGTAATAACATATAACAAATAACATGAAATTTAATACAAAATTCACAGAACAGTATCGGCTAAAACTAGTTTGTTTCCCCTCTTTTTAGTCATGGGTGGCATGTGCAGGGATTGTAACTAACTATACGCTGGCTATTATTTTTCTTTTATTATTCAGTGTGAATTTTCCTACACACAAATTAACCACAAATTGACACAATTGTGTAGCAAAATATGAACACTGAGTAATAAATAAATATTAAAATGATGAACTTATAGCCTAGACCCCTACACCACCTGCGAGGTCTACCAAAATCTACATAATTTAAAAAAAATATCAAAACCCGTGTGATATGTTTTGGGGCCAGTCCTTATTCATTCACATACTAGAAATGAGCAAAATCCATTGAACCTGAACCGACTTATGGCCATTTTCATTTTTGCCAAAAAGTGGACGTAGCTCGAATGTAGGTCGACTGGCGTGCTCCAAAATAGGACGTTCAAACCTCTCCCATAGGAGTAACAACTATATGCAATTTGAAACATGTGGGTCAAACGGTTCTTGAGTTATCATTGACAGTAGCCAAATGTTGACGGACTGACGGACGGACGACACCCCATGGCAATAGCTCATCTTGACGATGTCAAGGCGAGCTAAAAATTAAGGACTTTCAATGACAAATGACAAAATTCAAGAACTTTCAAGGGGTGTAGGGACCCTGTATAGGTTTGCTTGTGGACGCTGCCGCATAAATAATACACTCGAGATAATGAGTGATAAAACTGTTACGTTTCTGCGAGAGATTCTCATTAATATTCTTGCATATATTCAGCAGCGTCACGCGCGCCACAACAAAAAACGACAAGATTTGAATTTATAAGGCTGTCTATAAAAAAATCACTTTTTTTATTTTTGAGATCACGATATTATTTATGGAATGTATTACAAAATACTCGAGCAGCGCGAACAGACGTATGTCTGATTGAAACCTTCATGATTTTTATATTACACAGTGTTATTCATGATCACATTCATCAGTTGCAATATTAAATCAAACCTATCTAGCATGCGACGACACAGTCAACAAAAAACTGTACAACGATACCAGTTCAACAGAACACGTAACAGGTTAAGTATATCTGCTACACAATGATACCCAGTCAATACAATAGTATCAATTAGCTCTTGATACTAAATAGGGTAACAATACTCACATCAGGTAGCAATAGTCATGTGCAGTACTTTACCTATTAAAATTAAAAGGCACGTATATGATGAAATCTAAAATCGGCACGATAAAGATATTGCATTATACTTACACATTGTGAAAAATTGAATATCAATACAATATGATGAAGAGTAACACGACGGCATGATACATGACCAAGCGTGGCATTCCATGACATCAAGCGCCATGATAAAATCAGCACACGCACGCGCTCGCACGTACGCACACATGCACTCGCACGCAAGTACGCACGCACTCACACACGCACACAAACATACACACTTAACCGTTAACGATTCAGTTTAAAAAATTCGGATAAAAAATTAAAAGCAGTCGAGTGTTACAGACGGGACTTCACAACCTGTCAATATTATAACTATAACAACCTATTGCGAAATAGCCGTCAGGAGCGCTCCAGGCGGTAGAGAGCATCGACATGGATTGCTAGCAGTGGATCTTTTACGCAGGAAAATAAAAAATAAAAAATAAAAAATGCAGTCCCTGCCGACCGGGCCACATTGCGGCCATCCTGCCACATCCATGTCGGAAAAATTACAGACTATTGGCCGGAATTTTACCTGTTCACGTGTATGAGTGCAACACTAATTTTTTACAATCGGACAAGTAAAAGCCACGCTGTACAGGAGCGGAGTTCCGTGACCTGTGACTGGCGTCGCAGTCACGCAATCACATAACGTATTCGATAACAGTATCCTACTGTCGGTGCGCGTGCGTGCGGGAAACGTGAACGTGGCGGTGGGTGCGTGTACGCGTGTGGCGGTGGGTGCGTGTACGCGTGTGGCGGTGGGTGCGTGTACGCGTGTGGTGGTGGGTGCATTTGGGGGTGGTTGCAGGCAGGCAGGGGAGAGGAGAATCGGGGACTAGACTGATATGAGTAACACGACACTAATCCTGATCACAGCACAATATGTGAGGAATTTCACTCCAGTTATGTACAAGAGCTAGCCGAGTATATACCATTACTATAACTAATATGTGATGCAGTAACATTTTTGCACTTGGATGATTAGCATGCATGATACAAATGATACATCAATACTTAATTACATCACTGAAGAAACAAAATGGTCATTATTTACAGTGAATAGATCTCTAAATTTACATAACATATCAACAGTCATAAAAAATCACTTCATTTATCCCACGAAACGTTTAAAAATTACAAAACGTTTAAAAAATACACACTACCAGGCACCGACCCAAACCTCGCATCAAGGTCACGACCGAGGTCATACGAATGAGGAGAACCCTGGGATCGGGGCTCGCGAGCCGGCCATGTTGTTGATGATGATGTGGCCGTTGTTGAGTGCCTGGCTTGCGTCGCTGTCCGTATAGCTGTGCTGTTGTTTCGGCGGACGTACCGGTGGCCGCCACACGGACTGTGACGATGCCTGCGCGTAGTGATTGGTGAACGCACTTGCATCACGTTTAGCCATGCTATCAGGACCACTGTCTGTCTCAGAGCCCTGCAAGCAAGAGAGTGCGCTACAATCAAGGAATATGCATTTACATTCAGGTGCCCCAGGGACTCTCAGTTTATGTCAACACCCTACCTTCACCCCAACCCACGCTTCTCTCCAGTGACAGGACATGCACAGAACGTTTCAACCGTGTGCTGACAGCACACGTTGCTATATTTAACAGTATTCGAAAATTATATGCCTATGCACGCGCTGTCTAACGAAAATCAATAGTTTTTAAAGCCGCTTTCTCGCGCTGTCTCACTATCTCGCCCATTACGGAGCCACTGTCGCTCTGTCTTGTGCATTGTGGTAGCACTGTCTCTCTCTCTCTCGCTCTCTCTTTCCCAAGCACATTTCTACACTGCTTTCTCAATCTCTCATACATTTCAGCACCACTGTCTTGCATTGTCTCATGCACTGCAGCACCGCTGTCCTCACGCATAGCAACACCACTGTCTTGCGCTGTATCATGCACTGCAGCACCGCTGTCTCGTGCTGTATCATGCACTGCGGCACCGCTGTCTCGCGCTGTCTCACTCATTGCGGCATCGCTGTCTCGCACTAGATCACTCATTTCAGCACCACTGTCTCGTGCTGTATCATGCACTGCGGCACCGCTGTCTCGCGCTGTCTCACTCATTGCGGCACCGCTGTCTCACGCATTGCATCTCGCGTGCACTTTCTCACCTGTGAGTCGCCGGTCGAGTCTCCGTACTCAGATGGCTTGTCCGTCAGGCTGCTGCTGTCTGGGTCTGCCTCGGCGTAGGGACGCGGTCCCTCCTCCTCCTCCTCCAGCTCCTCGTCCGAGTATGTCACGCTGCCGGGGCTCGGACGCGGCGGCGCCCTGCAGCGACGCACACAGATATGCCATGTCTCAATCCGCTCACATACACTACTACTTACTATATATACTACATTCCTATATACTATTATATTATTATATTACATTACATTATTATATTATTATCAGGAGTGTTTAATAATAGTATAATAATAATACATGTAAATCTATTATTATACACTCCTGATATTATTATATTACATTCTTAAATGCCATTATATTATTATATTACATTATTATATTACATTATTATATGCTACATACTTGTAATTATAAACATACCTAAAATTGTATATTAGTAAAGTCAACCTTCATTAGCGGACACCTCTACAGAATGGACACTTGTCTGTAAATGACACTTCGGGGAAGTTTATCTTAAGTGACCCTTATATGCAGGTTTGACTGTAGTATTTTCAGACTAACACACGTTTCAAACCACTCACTATGTTGTGACATTAATTATATTGTATACAGACATAATATCAAACATGTCAGTTATGACATAACTGTATACTTATGATTATCGTTACTTAGGAAATGTAGATTAGTATGCAGTGATTACTATCAACGTGGTGCTTCAGACACTGGTAACTCATTTGGTTGAGCATACAGCGACAGAGCGCCGCACGTGGTAACATCTGCATGGTTCACCACACCCCTTACCAAATTACAGTATCATCCTACCACCAGGTGGCTCACCTTGCATATGCCTTCTTGCGCGATGTGGAGCGGCGTGACGCGCGCGACCGGTTGCTATGGTTACTGCGCAGCGAACCCCTGTATTGGTTCTCCATCTCAAAGGTTGCGAATCCACCGTCGTCGATCGTGTTGAACTGATCGCCGTTCATCGTCGGGATCTGACTCTCCGATTTAGCTGTTAGCGAAAAAATTATAAAAATATTCCAAATATTAAAACCACAGTTCTAATAATAGAACACTATACACGCTTGCCAGTAGCAGATACGATAAGCTAATCCTATCTAATTAGCTAATTGCAGCTTAGTTAATCGTTAGTCATGCATAGAGTTCAGAATGGATGAGTAAGAATCGTAAATACTCACGCATCTGCTGCACAATGTTCTTCCAGTCTGCAGCGTGAAAAGAGAGCCGAAGAGAAAGATTGGTGCAAAAAAAGTTGTACGGTTAGAAAAGTTGCCGAAAGACAGTCAATGGTTAGCAAAAGTAGATACTCACATATAGCGTGAGATATACTATTTGAAGCATTCTACACAGCATCAATACCAGGGGCGGATCTAGGATTACATGTGGGGGGTAGCAATTCCAGGGGCATAGTGAGTAGTTGTGGACGAATCCGTGTGCCGCAGGCGCAAGGCACGAGCGCTGAAGGCGCGAAGTCACGGGGGGGGGGGGCTCCCCTAAAAATTTTGAAATTTTTGATGCCATTTCCTGCATTCTGAGTTATTTTCAGATGAATTTCTAAAAATCTAAACATCAAAAAAAATTGTTGAATTTTTTTTATTTGTATTTTTTCTTTTCTTTTTTTAATTTGTGCACAGCAGGGGGCGTGATCGCTCCAATGCGCCCCCCTAGATCCGCCCCTGAATACACTATAGACAGAACTGCGTTTCACCACAACTACACAGGATTTGATCGCCTGCTGCAAAGTATTGCCAAAATAGGCTGAATACTAAATAGACAGAGCTGCTTGAAATCCAATAAATGCAAAGAACTTGTTATTCTCAACAACATGCTTAAAGATGTAACCTGGTATTTAATTCATGTTTTGCAAAGTAATGTATTGCATAATTTATTACTATATATAATTTAACACAGCGCATGCATTGATGTCTGATATACATATAGGAATGCATATATAAAGAATAAGACATGTTAGAAGAAAGCCATCGATCGAAAATAATGGTACAGGTTTACTCTCTAATATATATATATATACCTATCTGCTGTTATAGCAGTAGCCGCTACTGGTGTAACAGTAACACTTACGTATGTGCTTGACATTTTTGCCCTTATAGCAGAGGAAGGCAACGACGAGAATGAGCAATATGAGCGAGATGAGTGCGATGATCACCAGGAACCACCACTCCTCGTAGAACGGCCTCGGAATCAGCATGTCCAGCACTGTAACGTAAGCAATAATCGTTAGCACGGCAAACTGTAGTGCAACTAGACCTTCATTTCACTCGTCCGTTGAACGATTTTTAGTAGTTAGTCAGTTGTTTTTGTTGCAGCTGTTGCTGTTACTGTTGTATGGAAATGTGCATTCGTTTGCCACCTGGGGTGGGGAAGGCACATACTGGGGGAGGTGATCTACTATATAAGCTTACTCGGGATAGGGAGGGGACATACCGGGGGTGGTGATCCACCGTGTAGGCTCGATCACAGGGGTGAGTAAGAGATAGGGAGGGGACGTACCAGGGGTGGTGATCCACTGTGTAGGCTCGCTCACAGGGGTGAGTAGGGGGTAGGGAGGGGACGTACCGGGGGTGGTGATCCACTGTGTAGGCTCGCTCACAGGGGTGAGTAGGGGGTAGGGAGGGAACGTACCGGGGGTGGTGATTCACTGTGTAGGCTCGCTCACAGGGGTGAGTAGGGGGTAGGGAGGGGACGTACCGGGGGTGGTGATCCACTGTGTAGGCTCGCTCACAGGGGTGAGTAGGGGGTAGGGAGGGGACGTACCGGGGGTGGTGATCCACTGTGTAGGCTCGCTCACAGGGGTGAGTAGGGGGTAGGGAGGGGACGTACCGGGGGTGGTGATCCACTGTGTAGGCTCGC